TAATTTTTTATTAGGATTATCATGAAGTAAATTTATATTATACAGGAGTTATTAACTTTTGGTATCCCCTCTCAGGTTAAATTTTTCTCTAGAAAAGAAAAATTGTTATCTTAACAACCTTAAATGCACTTTACTTAATAAATTTATTGAAAATAACTAAGTTTATAATAAATAACAAACAGTTGACTACAAAAACGTTGAAAAAAAAATTAAATAAATTACAATCAAACATGTGTATAACAAATTTTTTTTTAAATGTTAACTTTGATCTTTTATACTTCGTCATGCGACAAACCAAAAATAAAAACTCTAACAGATAAGTAGGCATAAAAAAAAAAGTAGACATAAAAAAGAGAAAAAAAATGACTGGAAAACAATTTACCTGCTTTTAGTAACCTGTTATCATACTTCAGTTGCTGTCATGATGCAGCAGTTTTTGTCGGTGTTGTTTAATGACGTTATTTAATGTTAGCTTTCAGTAAGCTTTAGAAGATATCACAATATCTTTAGAATATTTAAATTAGGAGCAAATTAAAATGCTTTAAGGGGCTTAACTATACACATTTAAGGTAAAAACCAATTTGAAATATAAATTAATTCCATTTTTATAGCTAAATATATTCTTGGTCTATAGTAAATTTTAAAAGCAGCAAGTGCGATATATTATTTTTAACAATTGAATATAGCATCATTAAACTATCATAATTGGATGAATCAATATAACTGTATTTTAAGTTTAATTTAGTTTTTATTTTAATAAAAAAAAAGAAACCAAATCAAAAATACAACCGAATATATTATTAAAAAAAAACTCAAAATAAAAACAAAAAAAAAATTTAACAAAAAATTACAATTAAAAAAAAATTATAATATAAAAAAAAAAGTAAGCGAAGAAAAGGCAGCAACAAAAAAGTAACATAACTGATAGAAGCTATTTATAGTTCTTTTGTTGTTGTTTGATCTTTGGTATCTCTCAACACCCCGGTATGGATTAGCCCTCTATTTGAACGAGGACTCATCCATACCGCCATTAGTACATCACTTATTGAAGGACCTCTCTGAGAGAGGCCCTGGATGTTGAGAACTATATAGTCTATACATTTCGTATGTCAATTGATCTTAAATAATAAATAGAAGAATATAATAACGGTTATAAGTATTTGGAATTTTATTTAATCAAAATATAAAGCATAACCTCACCATTTTCAATAGTAAATACAAATATTTAACAGCCTTTACAAAAATGCAAGCTTTAACATTAATGTGGGCTTGATATTTCTTAGATAACCAAGGATTGTAAGGTACAACTCAACGGTTATCTAGATTGTTGCCTTTAATATTGATAATCAACCCATTATTACGACGCCAATATTGTGGATAACCATTGTGAACGGCTACTGTGTAGTCACTAAATTCTTTAGGATAATTTTTGCTGCACACCCCATCTTTCATACAGGAGGAATTAAGATTTAGTATCCCACATGGGCCATGAATTATACAAGTTTTAATAATATTATAAAGTTCATGATTAACAATCGGATCTTGAATTTCTGCACATATTACATTTTTGATATCCTGTGTTGTTTCAAGTTTATCATCATTGGCTAAATTAATTAAAATGTGGGCATGCGGCAAACCACGCTTTTGAAACTCAATAACATGAACATGTGTTACAACTTTGCCAAATACACCATGTTTAAATATATTATTGAGGAGGTAATTTGACTTAAGTTTAAATACTCTAGTAACCAGATCAGGTCAATCATTCGCATCTGAACAGAATATAAATTTTCTGTTATTTCACGTCATTTTGGGTTGCAAGTAAAAGTAATAAAAAGATCTGGTTTACCATACTTTTAAATAATTGCCATAGCATCTTCAAAGTGTTTTCTAAAAGTTCTAGGACTTCCAACATAAGATGACGGCAAAACTACTACTCGCCCTGGTCGAATAATATGATTGTTTGCTATGTTGTTAACATGTTCATGTAAGGTATCATACTGCTCGCTTCTAAGTTTGTTTTGGCTATTTCTGATAAATGCAAGACGCTGGCCTTTAATTTTGACGTATGCCTCAACAGCATATTGCTAAAATAGTTTCTTGCCAAATAATAAACAGAAAAATTGCCTTACAGAAAGTCTATAGTTGTAGAACTGAGATAATGTTGACATGATTTCTATCCAGTGTGGAACGCTCAGGGTTATGCACTAAATAAGTAGACCAACCAGCGTCACCTCTTGGGAAAAACAGAGGATAAACCATAGGATCTAAGTTGGCTGATATGCTTGATACAATTTTTAAAGGATGACCTCTTGGGTAAATAACAACTTACCTGGAAGTTGGAGGAGCGCCATCTTCACCAACAAATACAACATCAACTTCATCATGTGAAGGTAGATTATAGCAACGTCTTCACTTTACATCACCCTCTTCAAGACATTTTTACAACTGAGACTGAGCGACTTTCTATAGCTGCTTGAAGAACTTTCTCATCTTCTACTTCAGCCATGTTTTTAAATGCAAGAGCAAATGAACTTTGTACAGTAATTATAGTTTGCAATTGAAATATTAAATCACGTAAACAAAGCTCATTACCACGTTGTTGCATTCTAAAATTTACTGCTGCAAGTGGATCATAAATATATAGTTGAGAATATATTGGTAGAATATCTTGATCTGGCCTAAGATTATCTACACGATGATAAATCTGAACACATTTTTTAAAATATGGAGGCCCGTAATTTATTGGCTGAGGTACATCTGCTTTAAAAAAAGCAAAAGAAAGACAGGCATTATAATTTCAAATATGTTTTAAAAGATTAATATTAGCATTATGATCTACATAACTCCGTGTAAATATATCCTGTAAAACTTGTGTAAATGATGAAAGTGGAGGCAAAGTTACCTTACCATTATGGCAACATAGAAAATGTTTTTCATCTGGAAATTTCTTAGCACCGCAGTGCTGACAAATTTGATTTATTTCTCCTAAATAATTATAATCTGGAATAACATTACTTCTTGCTATACAATGCTTTTTTTCGTGTCTAGCAGTATATCCAGCATTTAGTTAATTATTAATTTCATCTCGCCTCAGCCTATTTCTTGCATTTTTGCGACGATTATTTTCAACTTGCCTAATAACACTATCCTCATTTTGATTCAAATTATTTGCGGCTTGCCGTGCAGCATATCTAGCATTTTGTTGATTAATAATTTCATCTCGCCGCAGCCATTTTCTTGCATTTCTGCGACAATTATTTTCAACTTGCCTTATAACATTTCCATCATTTTCTAAACTAATAACCACTTCTAGCCTTATATCATTCATTTAAACTTCACTTTTAATTGATAGTAGTAACAAAAAATCTTAAAAGAATCTTGAAGTTTGTGATCTTTTTTTTTTACTTCTCTAAATTGCACACACACAAAGAATAGTTTTTAAAACATTAGTTAAGAAATTTTCATTTAAAATAAACCAAA